CCCCAGCTGTTCTAACACATACTCACCACACATTTGCACATGTATGCACACACTCACACACACACACACACACACACACACACACTCACACACACACACACTCACACTCTTAATCACATAAGTAATTGGCCTTTTAGTTCATGGCTTTAGCTCCTACTTGTTCCGGTACAAGACTCATTGATTGCTCTATTGCTCTATGTCATAGGTGGACTTTCAAGTTCAAGTGGGACCTGTGAAGAAAGGACCAATCCTTTTGTTCCTTCGGCCGGGCCAGTATGAGAGCTGCATCATGCCAGAGCATCTGGAGAGTCTGTGGGGACCCGTGCCATTGATGCGTCTTCCGCCCGCAGTAGACAACAAATGTGAAGTTGCCTCTCACAGGTACATGTCAGTCATGATACGATGGAATCAGGCGCTCGTCAATTTTGGGGTCATATGGAGTTATTGGTATCATCTTAAAGGATGTTCATTTGTCTATTGATAATGAAAAAATACCCATCTATCTTGAATAGAAATTTTGAGATAAAAGGAGGTGGGGATCGCCTAGCTTCAAAGGTCCTGTCCCCACAGAATTATGCAAAGTTAAATGGCCAAATTATGCAAGAAAATACAAAATTATGCAAGTTACCGTAAAGCCATTCACGACATGTTTTGCACTTTTTTTTACAAGAATTTTCAAGATTTTTGTACTGAAGAATTGAAAACAGAACATATCAGTATCAGTAATTTTTTTGTTTATTTGGAAAGAAAACAATACCCATCAGTCAGAAAAAAAACCAAAAAATATAATCTGTGTAACTTTCAGCTGTATAGAATAGAGGAAAGAAAAATGTTTAAAAACAAAAAAAGAAATACAGCTGGCACGCCACTAAAACCAGGGACACCTGTCAAACATGAAACATCGGCAGACATGAGAACAACTTTTGATGGATTGAAAAATTGAACAGGCTCAAGGAACAAAATCCCTAACCCTGAACCCCCTAACTGCTGAGATCTTCTAACAAGGAAAATAACCAACTTGTCACTTAAATGAAACTTATTACCATGGGTGAAAGTTTTCCGGCATATGCCGGAATTCCGGCTTTTGAAAATAAGCTTTCCAACTTTTCCAGTTTGGGACAAATTGTCGACTTCATACATTTCGGAAGTGGTAGTCATTCTCCCCATCCAGTCTCTAGCTCTTTGCATTTGGTTACGTTGCTGGTCTGTCTCAGCTTGCCATACTGGCCAAAATGAACTTCGCAAGCCCAGAAATAACCCAATTTGATCTATGTCGCAGTAAGCACTTGGCCAACGACCTCGATGTTATTCCTCTGGCAAGATCGCTCTGTGATTTGCCCAGGTTTAGCCATATTTTGCAAATTGTGGCTGGTTTTGACATCTTTGGTTCATGTCTGTGGGTCGTTTGGACAAGCACAAGCACGTCGCGGTCACACTTTAAATATTATTGTGATTTATTTTTTTTTAAAGGAAATTCATTCTTTCAGTAAATGTAGATAAGATGCACATAGAATAATAGATGTAGCAACCCCCCGAATTTTGACGTGGAGCCTATATTATTCTGTGTATTGAAACACACACAAGACTTGACAATTCGTACCTATACAGCGAGGGAAAAAATGGGCGACATCGAGGGTAGATCTAATTACATGCAGGCCTGTAGACGGCCGCAAATTTCGTTTTACCGATGAAGCCGGAGAGAGAGAGAGAGAGAGAGAGAGAGAGAGAGAGAGAGAGAGAGAGAGAGAGAGAGAGAGAGAGAGAGAGAGAGAGAGAGAGAAAGAGGGAGGGAGAGAGAGAGAGAGAGAGAGAGAAAGAGGGAGGGAGGGAGGGAGAGAGAGAGAGAGAGAGAGAGAGAGAGAGAGAGAGAGAGAGAGAGAAAGAGGGAGGGAGGGAGGGAGAGAGAGAGAGAGAGAGGGGAGGGCACAGTAGGAGTGAAAGCCTATGATCTCTCTTTAGGCCCAAGCCAGGGGCAGTATGAGTAATGTAGCCTGGGTGTAGGCCAAGGATGTGTTTGTTTCATTGTTTCATACGACACAGGAGTGTTCAGCGGTAGACCTAGATCTAGATCTGGCTTGCTCACTTTAGTTACGGTGTAGTCTAATTATTAGGCCACCGGACCCGTAATTTCAGAATTCCCCGATGATGGCATGATAACTGTTTCAATTGCGGCTCACAAATGGTCAATATTATTCATAGTTCTGCTGTTACTTTCAAAACAAGCATTCTCCAACTCCAAGTTCTGTTTAGTCAGGCCCATCATCAGGACCCGTGAGTAAAACTTTCAAACGTGCGTTCTCATCATGTGACATGACTTCGGCGTGCGAGTTTCGCGCATGTCAGGGACGGGGTCAAGTAAAGTTCATGCACGCTGGTTGAAGCAGCGTCTTTCGAGGCTTACGGGGGAAAGAGGGGGGGGGGTAGATACTTGGACAAGGAGTCCTTGATGTGATACTTCAGGATTTAAAAAAATGATAATAACAAAACACACACACGGCGCGCGCAGAGGGCCTATAGATCTACATGGAATATAATATATTTATGGACACCCCTGGGAAATTTTTTATTCAGCTGGCTAGTGAACTTGATGATTTGTCGTTGATCCCGATTTTTTTGCTCCTGAGATCCTGATTTTTAGATTTCATAGAGTGGCAGAGATTTGGTTTAGACATGCGAGCGGAAAGTTTGCTTGTGAAGGCATGTAGTATGTAGCCAGTAGGGCCCTATTGCCGCCACGTGTGTGTAAGCGCTTTCTCTTCAATAGAGATTACGCACTATTCAGCGGCTTGCCGATGATCGGTACAGTTAGGTGTGAAGTTGTTGTAGAAGAGAGTGAACCATAGCAGAGCAAAAAAAACAGCGTACAAAGACTTCTCGGTTGAGGACAAAACGGCTGATCCTAGCAGAGGTGGATGAAAAATCGATAGATTTATATATATTTTTAAAAAAACAATCTGCAACACATTTAAGATTCCGAATCAAAGAAAAAAAAAAACCATCGGAAAATACACTGTACAGAATTATAGTGCTGAAACGGGGACGAAAAGACATAAACTGATAAGGTAGAGGGCAGTGGAACAAGCAGTGTTTCGTTGGTTTCAAAAGGGGTAGGCTATAGCTATTTCTATGTCAAGCCAAATTATTTCAGTTAAGACTGAGAACTACAGCATCAAAATGTAAAAATTAAATCCATCACGCGCGCAGGTTTGCATCAGGGGACATAATTCATGTAAATTTTGACCTGATTGTCCAACTTGGTTATCTTCCTTGATGCAGCCTAGAATTTGTCCATCGCAAAATTCGTACATAACGAAAAGATTTTTATGTCCAGCCGATTTCACCATCAACTGCAACAGCCCAACCTACAGCCCCAAACAATGTGTGCACAAGTGCCGTGCACCATTGCTGAACTCTTATTAAGTAAGAATCCACAGTTGTAGTAATGTGGACTGTGACGGTGACACAGCTCTTTAAAAAAAAATGTATGTCTCCGTGGGGATTGTGATAAAATACATCTGTGAAAAAAATTAACATCCAGGAATAGCATATTGCTTTTTTGCAGACCCAGAACCCAGTTGGATGGATTGTTTTCAAAGGAATGCATTGATGAAAGTACCTGTACTACATGTATCTTGATGGAATGTGTGTTTATCTGACGTTTGTCAATGCATTTAATTTTCAGGCGTAGGCATTTTACTAATTTGGATTTCAGGTTTTTGTACCTGTCAGTGCTTTCACCCATGCTTATCACTGTGATTACTTCCCTTTAGTCACATGGTGATGTGTTATCGTTAAATTGTGTTGTAAAAAAATACAAAAAATAGAGAAAAAACGCGGGGAATCGATATTTATGCAAATGTTGCAGAATTATGTGAAAAAAACGTGGTCGCACAATCACATAATCCGACAGCGACAGAAAGGTTAAATTAACAAGAAAATGGCCGCCAAAGTTTGGTGACTTCCATAGCTAGAGAGTCCTTGGGAACTGAAAATTTGCATTTTTTGTGCCTTTAATCAACGGTTTTCTTTGAAATCCATTGGGAAATGCTTTTTAAATTGAACATAATAAGTGTTGAACCAAAAAACAAAAATTCGATCAAAATTGACAAACAGGCGGAAAAATATGTTTCTTCGATTTCAGTACTTTGATGAGCGGCTGGTTTCGCAACGATGCTTTACATGTTTGAATCTTACAGCCATTTTAGCATTAGCTCCAGTAGAACTGCACTCAGCCATATTTCATGTACTGGCAAAACTTTCAGCTATTGTTGGAGGGGGAAAAGGGCATCTCTATGCATGCATATCTTCACTTTCGGATTCTGTCAAGAGCTATCAAATAAATAGTATACACCCTTTGTTTTGTAGAGTAAGGACTTCTGTAGCAGCTGACACTTGCTGCTGCAAATGCTCCTTTAAATATACAGTCGAACCTGCCCTGACGGCCACCTCTATAAGACGACCACCTGTACAAACGGCCACTTTCCATTTCCCCCCCCTTGCATTTTTTCTGTATAGTTAACTGTGTAAAACGGGCACTTGTCCAACGCGGCTGTGGCCTCTCTATTTTAACACACAACCCCTATCACACCAAACAATAACACCTGTCTTAGACGGCCACCTTAGTGACTCCATCACGTTTTGTCATAAATCAAGCATTGGCCCCTGGCGTTGTGGGCGAGCGGTCATAATCCAATCACCTGTCGTTGTTGTAAGGTAGTCCCTCCAACCGATTATGTTGCGTAGGCCCCTCCCACTGTTGACCAATAGGTAACAAATTTTCAGCTGCTGGTGAAGTAAGCGTGTGATCCCTCATTACCCATAAGCCCCGCCCTGAATTCTTACTCAAATCGTAAGTGAGATGAGTGGTCACTGTTTACCCAGTCTGTAACAAAGTAACAAAGGACATCAACATGAACTTGTGACAGAAGCGTCGCTCGTTCTCCTAGTGGTGGCGACCCATGTGTTTGTTTTACCATGGCACTCTGTCCTCCTTGCCTCACACATTTCGTTTTATTGTCACCCTTGCACAAAAGCAGTAACAAAAGAAAAAAAAGGAAAAAAAAACCCAATGAAAACGACAACTGCAATAACAACAACAACAATGCGGCTGCCTTCAGTTGCGACCTCAGAAAGGAGTGGTTTGTTTTCTTCATCTTGATCAGTCCTGCCTAAGACGGCCACCTGCCTTATATGGCCACTTTTCTCCTTGACAATGGGTGGCCGTCTTACACAGGTTCGACTGTATATGTAGTTTGTGTTTCCTCTTTTTTCAGTTTTGAAAAAAGTACAATTGCATAATAATAGTAATGATGATAATAATATGATAATAATAGCAATAAAAATCATAATAGTAATCATTGTAAGGATAATGGATCACAGTTATATGCCAAACTGTCATGTTGTGATTGTAAAGAAACCCTCTTTTAAAATAATGTACGTTGTCCTTCTTCCTCATGCTCAACAGACTTCTTAACCACCGTGGGGGTGTGGTTTTCACTTGCCGTGTCATCCACTCTATTCCTCTGCTACAGTCGGCCATCCATGTCTTTTACAAGGACCGCATGGTGGCGGTTGCTCATCTGATCAGCACTGATACTCTGCCTTTGCCCCCTCAGGTTAGTTGTCAGTAGTTCTTTTGGAAAAATGTAAAAAAAAGCATAGTTTAAAAAAATTATTTTTGGCTGTATGTGATGCTTTCTATAATAATTTTTTTAGGATACTAGCCAGATACATTATCGTAAATGTTAAGGTGCCATTTCTTACAACACCTCTTTTAAGTTAAATGAGGCTTGAATTTTGTACCTGAACGAACAGTAGTATGACTTAATTATCGCATCTGTACTTCATTCCTTTGAATGGTGATCATATTAGACAGTCGTGGTATGTAGGTCTGTTGTAGTTAATTATGGCCTGTACCTGTTGGGCAAATTCCAATTAATTACTGAGTTTAATGGTCATTATGTCATCAGCTTCAGATATGGGAATGCCAAGAGCAACAACACAAACACTTCTATCAGATAAGTTTGTTAAAAAGTCTTACGGAGCTCACAACTGCTTTAGGTCATTCTTGTTACTTGTGTGAAGGACCGACATCACTGCACAAGGGGCATCCCCATAAGGGCTCCGTCCCCTGAAGAAGCACATCTCGAAGTGTGTAGATTCTGACGGTTCCAAGCAATGTTTGATTCCATAGCCTTCTGCTCCTTCCACTAAGTCTTGAACTTCTGCAGGCGCCCCATCCAATTCCAAGCTCACGAAGTCGCTCAAGATGATGGTCTTCCGACTGTTCTTGTTCTTGTTCTCTTTCTATCCCTGACTGAACGCACGATTTCAGGCTTGTCAGGGCACAGCTTCCCTTCAGGTTTTTGCTTTCCCAGCGACCTCGTCAGCCCACTCATTGCCGTTGACTTCCGCATGGCCCGGGGTGAAGATCCACGTGATCTTTTTCAGTGTCATCTTCATCAGGAGCTCTGTCCATTCAGCTCTAAGGTTCCCACTTTCAATCTTCCTCTGAGTGCTCTGAGAGTCTGTGACAAAGATCACATGTGCTTGTCGAGTTGTTGTGACCCATTTGAGAGCCTGAGTGATTGCCTCTATCTCCATTCTCATGCTAGATATTGTCATATCGTATGCTCTCTGCTGTTCCTGCACCAATCTGCCACTCGCTCTTGCTGAGAAGCCCCATCCAGATTTTTCTCCTTGTTTAACAGATCCATCCGTGTATACAACCACATCTCCATGCCGTGAGTTGCCTTCAATCAGTTTTCGTATCTCAGCAGCTGTCGCCCCCAGCAGCCACTCTCTACATTCTCTGTTCAGCTGTTCAGCGTAATCACTACCTTCCCAAAATCTCCCTGCTATCTTTCATTCATCTTTATCCATTCTTCACCCCGCTTTATATCTTCCAGTGGGCAGACTTCTTTGCTCATATGAGTGTGCAAGACAGAAGCTGGTTATTTACAAGTTAGTTCAAAGCGCAGCTTGGTTTTAATTTGCGAGTTGAAATGGCTGAAGCATCTATAAATATAGTATACAAGGTAAAATTTGGTTTTAAAAAAGGCAATTTATTATTTAAAATAACACTGTTTAATCTTTGAACTAAGACATTTGGTTTTAATTAAATAAAAAATCCTGTTGGGATCCAAGATGGCGAACAAATTCTTCAAGTTGGTATAAAGTTTAGGCATTGTTGGTTGTGGCTGGTTTTAATGTTTTGGAAGGTGTTGTAGTTTATTTTGGATGGATTTTGTGTAAGAGAAACACATCTGTCAGCATTATGGGCTGAACCTGTGGCTGTCCACAGATTACTGTCACGCAAATGTCACTGATATGGTCCTTGTGCTATGTATTAGTTTACTTCTCCAGCTGGAGGGGGGGGGGGGGGGGCATGATTTGAAGTTAAGATAGTTGTGTTACAGACATGATGGCATCATAGAGATAGAATGAATAAGAAAAGTACAGTGGAAACCTGATATAACAGGGATGGTGGGAGTAGAGAAAATGTCCTGTTATATCCGATCCCTGTTAAACCAGAAATGCAAGGAAAGTGAGCATTTGTGGACTAATCCAGCGGTACTTATTCATGGGTAGTTTCCTTTGCCACAAGTACCCACGAACAGGGGTTTTGGCACCAACTTTCTCCATTGCCTCACATCAGAAGAGCTTGGTCCACAGCATCTGCATCGAGTAGTCTCATCTTCTTTCGATCCAGAGCAAACTTTCCATTGGAGTATGCTGCCACTATCTTCTCTCTATCGTTGATAATGGTGTGAATCAACCCTTGTGGAATGTCAAACTGATGACAAATCTCTGCCAGTGGAGCTTGCTTTTTGTCAACAGCCTGGATTATTTCGTATTTTTTGTCAATTGAAAGGCATTTTCTCATGTGCTTGACATTGTTGGTGACACATTACGCGTGTGTGTTGCTAGGTTTCGGGCTAGATCGAGGTCTGCAGCACACAGCAGCCCTCTCTCGCTTCACACGCTACGTGTGCTTGCAGTGGCAAGGCTTGCGTGGGCTTGCTCCATCACTGCGTTACTCTCTATCTCTCTCTCTCTTACTTTTTACACATTTTAACGAGCCTTTGTCCCTGCTATAACCGGTTGGGCTGCGATGAGGTCCTGTTACTGCCGATAACTTTTAACAGAGACAAAGAGTAGGAAAAAACGAGGATTTAAAAAATCCATGTTATTACCGGATCCCTGTTATTACCGGGCCTGTTATATATGGTTTTCAATGTAAATAGTTGTCTGTGATAAGTGGTAGTTGCAGCATGTTTTATGATAATTCTTAAAGGTGGTTACCAAAGCAGACTTTACAGTATTCTTATTTCTTAAGAATTTCTATGCAAATGACCATTATGTTGTTTGCACATACTCACTAGATAAATAATGTTTATTTTTTATCAGTTGGTGAACCGCTCGAATAGCCCGTCCTTGAACCCAAAGGCACTGGAACGAGCTATCCTCATCAAGAATCATAAGGGTGACTGGGCGGTGGTCACAGGCCGCTGGACTGGGTATAAAAAAGGCGTTGCTGGGATACCAGGTATGAAATTTTTTTGTATTTTTGTGTAGGACACTTATGTAGATGGGTGTAGTGTGTAGTTGCAATGGATTCATGTTGGAAAGTGCTGCTTGCATCGACCTCGTTCATTCCCCTTCTGTCCACTGCCTTTTTCTGTTCTTTACCGTCCCTCTGTCTTCCTTTGTTGTTGTTTACTTTTCTCTTAGTAATTTCAGTTTTGTCTTCATGTAGTGTATTGTAGTGACAAAGGGGGCTCTCGTGGCCTAGAGGCTAAGGTATTCGCCTCTCATTCAAAGGTCCCAAGTTCGAATTCAAGTAGAAATTCTCTAAAATTGTCTGCTTTCACCACCTTTCCTTCTCTCTAGCAATGTTCTGTCATCTGCTTTCATCTCCACTTTCTTCCCCCACCCCCTCACCTCCGTTGCTCCCCCCTCTGGGCTCCTGACTCCTCTTTCTGCAGCCTTTCTACTGCTACTCCTTGGTTCCTTCTTACTGCTGTCTTTCAGCCACACCCCCTGATCTCCTGGTTGGAAAGATCTGCACCTAGCCTTCTCGGACAAGGGTGAAAAATCTCGGAGGTCCCGTGTGCAAGTTGCACTTGTTAAAGATCCCTTGGTGGTCTAAAATCGATAAGAACAGGCTTCGGCCGCCACCCAGGCAAAATTGAAAATTCCCTACCAACTGAAAATGTTTACCAATGGAAAATGTTAGGTGTGTCCCGCGTGCTCATATGACCTCTTGCAGTTGCGAGCGCAGTAAAATACTTAGCAGAAAGAAAAAAAAAAGTAGTTACAAAAGTTTTGTAAATACTTTGCTCTAGTTCTAAGAAGTATAGTCTCACATGTGTTGAATGTAAACTGTAGATTTATTGAACACTGTGAGCATCAAGTTTTGCTGCTCTTTTTTTTTTCCCTCAGGTTTTTGCTTTTGCTTGGGCCTGACAGTACATATTTTTTTCAAAGAGTGGTTGGTTCATCAGACATTTTTGTTTCAGAATAGTTGGTGAAATGTTAATCCAGACTCTTTTGGATTGAGAGGAAGGGGTTTTGTCCAGGTTTTTTTCAATAGACATTTATTTTCAGTTTGAAGTTATTTAGAACAAAATCATGGCATGCATATTTTTTCTCTTTTTTCCATTTTACTTCTAAAGCTAATTTATTAAGACTTTATAAAACTTACTTATGTGCTATATAGTTAAAGTATTAACCAAAACTATGAATAGAGATGCTCTGAATGTACATAGGAAACAATATATAAATACAGGACAGTTTACTTTTCTGTCTTAGTTTAGTTTTTTAAACTGTTTGTAATATTTATTCATATTTTGAGTACTGCATTTTGGTATGGGCAAAGTCCTTTAAAAAATGTGTTCCATAATAATCCAAGGCAGTCACCAATATATCAGCAAACACTGGTGTTTTAGAATCTTTGAAACCATGTAGTTTTTGAAATTTAAAATAATGATTAGTACCTTATATACGTCGGTGGCCTAGTAGTTAGGCTCTTGGACTCGCAACCGTAAGGTCTGGGTTCAAATCCCGTCAGGGGCTCGATGTTGTGTCCTTGGGAAAGGCACTTTGCACAAATTTTCCTCACTTCACCCAGGTGGAAATGGGTACCTGGCTATAGACTGTGAACAATCTTGTCAGTTTAATAGTGTTTGAACGCGTGAAATCCGCAGCTTGCACTGTATGCTTCCGCGGAAGCCGGGAATGTTTCTGAGTGTTCTCAGAGGGTCTGCTGGGGTAATAATAGTTGTAAAGCGAAAGAGCATGCTCTTGAGCATGGATATGCGCTATATAAATGCAATTATTATTATTATTATTATTATTATTATTATTATTATAATAAATTCATATATTTTTAGAACTGCAGTTCTTTTGGTACCTTTGAGTAATGTCAGAAAATATAAACATTCTAAGGAACAACAATTTTTTCAAAGAAATCAATTTTGTACTGCTAAGTTACCAGCAGCCTGTCGCTTCGAACTTACTTGAGTGTCAGAAAATGACAAAAGTATATTTGTGAAGCATCGGGGGGGAAATCAGGCTCGTCAAAATAACGATATCAGGCAAACTGGCGTTTTTCCACCAGGTAGGCAATGTTTGTCAAAATTTCGTTTTTTTAGCTCAACCCCTTTTATGTCCACACTAAAACATATTTCCATGTTTTACTGAAAAAATATTGGTTAAGGGCACAAAATATGACATTTTTCAGTTTTCAGGGACTCTTTTAACAGTGCTTCCACTCTTCCGTATTTTTATGGAACAGTTCCGTACTTGTTCCTCCATCATTATCAACTCCCTTCGTAAAAAAAACTGCGACAGTGTAGGACTAGATATCTACTGAAATCCCTTTGCAAAAGATCCGTACTCGCCTTCGTATCGTCTTGTATAAGCTACGGGTATTTACGGTAATTCTCTTGCCAATAAGTTAATGTTATAGAGACCTGCTAGATTGCGCATTTCCTGCAATCTGCCATTATACCGCTATGCCCCATGCGTTCATTGTGGGTTGGTCGGCAGTACATTTTTACCTGTTGATTGATCGAAATCTGGCAAACTTTTTATGCCAATTTCTTCTCTTCTATTATTCACTCATTCCGTCTGTCTATCTTCGGACTGTTGCCACGGCTGGAAAATATGCACATTGATCAAGTAAATTGACTTGTGATCTTATACAGAAAATAACTGTCAGAAAGAAATTTGTTTTGCAAATTTATTGTCTAGATCTAGAGAAATTATCAATGCGAAGATTCTACGGCACGGGAACGCAATAAGGGCCTCGATGAAATAAATTATGCTATAACTACTAAAATCAAGAATAATTCGAAGTGGTGTTCGGAGGTTGAGACACGCAACATTCAGAAGTGAAAATTGTGGAAAATTAGGGTATTCACTGGGTAACTGTATTGTGAAGGTGCTATCTATTCATTATTCCCAGGTTTGCCTTCTATCAATCATGCGATGACAAATTAATTGAATTATAGTAGAAATGGAAGGGGAACCTGCTTTTAAACATTGCCAGCAATGGAAAGATCTGATATGTAGGTGAAAAAATCAAACTAGACAAAATGTTGACGAACTAATAAATGTTATGGGTTGTTGGCAATCTCTTCAAACAGGCTCCCAAACGCCATTTTTTACCCTCTAAAAGCACTAGATTTCAATTTCCTCGGTGGCTTCGCCCCCTGAACCCCCCACCGGTACGCTGTCCCTGGACCCTGCTGCCTATTTGGCCCTCAGATTCCCGGCTGAATTTTCCTTACTTTTCAGCTTCAGCTGGTGGAAAGCACTATCTTTAGCTATTGGACTTACCAAATCTTGGTGGCCATTTTCTCGCTAATTTCACCACTGAAAACCAGGCGACCTCACTTCCTTCAATCGCAAATATCTCAACTTCTATTCAGGATAGATGGGCATTAATTTCACTGAAAGCAAAGCAAATAAACAGGCTTTAAAATCTTATACCAATTACCCCATATGCTGAAAAATTGACAAGTGTATTTGGATAGATGAATTATATATAAGGAAAAGGCATTGAAGAGAAAGACATTGTATCATGATAATGGCTTTGCAATGTGAACAACAGTGCAAAGCAGTTGTTTTTACCTCATCCTTGGTCTGGCAGTATGTATGTGCATTTAATTTCATTTTCTGCTTCTGGTGCCTTATTTCTTTTCCCCTTCATAACTACAATTTTCAGTCTGAGACAAGTGTCATTGCAATAATTTGAACAGCGGATCAGAACATCATCTTTGGAAGCTCATGAGTTGAACACATTCTGCTTGAGAGAAGCACAAGCTTCTCCTTCATTTCAAGCTTTTGAACTTATTGAGGACTCTTGTTCTGGTCACTTGACGACACTTGAAGACCCATGATGTTTTGGGGCACTTCACCCATTTCCACGCGAGTTACCTCCCTGAGCAGACACATTCACGTGGGCTGCCTCCAGCCACCCCCATAAATTTAGGTACCCATACTAAATCTGCAATAACTTTTCCTCCTAACAGCTACAAAATTACCGGACAATATGGAAATGCACGTACAGTTTTCAAAAACTTGGAAATAATAGACTAGAGCTAGTATTATAGAGACTCAAAGGGATTCGGATTTTCTCATGGTCATGTGACTGCCTGGATACAAGTATTCTCATAGGCTGTCTGCAATGAGTTAATAAATAAAAGCAGAAGTTCTCTATATTCATTGAGATTTTTAAATTCTCTTTTCTTTATTGGAAACTTAAAAAGGCAGACAACAACATGTTTACTTTGAAATATGGAAAATCGTGTTTCTTGTTTTGTGTATGATGGTTGTAAATATGCTGTAACTTTGCCTTTGGTCTGCTGATCAGATATGTGTGTCTGCTTTGTCCCTAGAAGGTTAACTGACCCAGAAGCCACTGAGCTTTCCCATTTGGAGTTTAGGGGGCTTGAGTTTATAGTGGGTAAAATGAATATGAAACGTAATTATGTGCCATGGTACAATCACGGCGTCGTTACACCATCTAGAAACGATACATCCGTGGAAAATAATGCTGACCTTCTGAAGTACTCTTTCACAGGGTTTCTAGATATGGAAGCCCTCTAGAGCAATAAATAAACTTTTTTTGAAGTTCGTCAATTAAGCAGGTTGAGATATTTTGCACCAAAGATTTGGGATATGAAAGTTTTGTAGCCAGATTTTTGGAAAGCTTTGCTCAGATCATTCAAGAAGTTTCTGCTCATTTGGCAGAAGAGAAATTAATGTGGTTTAACCCTATCCGCATGCCCTGGGGTCATTTTGTACCCCTAGGGTTGTATTCTTCAGATTTTAGAATACTTCTAGTGCGAAGATCTCTTTGAAACTTTCAGTATTTCTCAAAAAAATTATTTTGACAGACTGCTATGCAAAGCGTACAGATCGGATTAACGAGTAAAATCCTCTTTGGAATGTTGTGGCGCATAGTTTCCCACATCATATGGATGCGAAAGTAAGACACAACGTACGGATAGGGTTAAGTATGCTGACAACAGGGATCCTGTTTCATCTTTTTTTAAGTGACACTCTGATTGTTTTTGCTTCTGTTTTGTTTGTTTTTTCAGGCACTTCATCAAGCCGTGGCACGCGGGGTGTCAAAGGAAACCCGGGGACTTTGTCTTTTAAAATCTGGAATATGGGTTCCTCGAACAATGTCACCCAGTTGACCTTGCCATATGACAGTCAGAGATACAGCTTACAGCTTCCTGGTGTGGTTGTGGACCTCAAAGCTGGGGCTGTTATGGTATGTGAAAAGTCTGAAGTTCTCATGTAGGGTGGGATGTTTTGCAAATTTGTATATTTTGCGTTTATTTTTAATATCAGTAAAGGAAAAGCATAGATTTGTTGCTTGAGTGTACCCTTTGTAAAATTGTGGAACAGGAGGCCTATTTGGGGGCTCTCGTGGCCTAGAGGTTAAGGTGTTTGCCTCTTATTCAAAGGTCCCGGGTTCTGATCCGAGTAGCGACGGAAGATTTTTGTTCTCTAAAATTGTCTCCTTCTCCTCCTATCCTGCTCTCTAACAATGTTCTATCGTCTGCTTTCGTCTCCAATTTCTGCCCCCTCACCATCACTTCCTTTGCCCCCTCCTCTGGGCTCCTGACTCTCTCTGCAGCCTTTCTACTGCTACTCCTTGGCTCCTTCTTACTGCTGTCTTTCAGCCCCACCCCTGATCTTATAGTAGGTAAGATCCACGTTTAGCCTTCTCGGACAAGGGCGAAAAATCTCGGAGGTCCCGAGTTTAAGTTGCGCACGTTAAAGATTGCTTGATGGTCCAACAAATCGATATGAGAAGGCCGCGGCCACCCACCAAGCAAAATTAAAAATTTCCTAACAACTGAAAATGTTTAATGTGTCCCGCGCGCTCATATGAGCTTATGCGTAACAAAACTTACCCCCCCCCCCCCCAAAAAAAAAAAGCAAACAAATGCAAAGACATTAAAACCTTTCGTTCTAGCCCCACTTCTGTGTTCTAAAGTGCGCCAATATCACGAAAAAAGAAACACCAACAAAACAAACAAAAAAGAAAAGAAAAAAGAAAAAAAAAAAAAAAAAGAAGAAACTCAAGACGCAAAATGTATTATAATAACGTCAGAGGAAGAGACGCAGCCAGAGATACAGAATTCGATTTCCTATTCACACACAGCGTTTGTTTTAAGAAAATAATAATTTCTGGTGTGTGCAGAGAGTAATCGATGGATCGCAGGAATGTGATGAGTCTGCTCCCTGCTCACAGCCACGTATTGTCACTGCAAAGGTCGACGGCCTTAATTGGCCGCATTATCGGTTGATTTGTACTCACAGCTAAGTGTTTTTATTGCAAAGATCAACAGGCTTGACAGAACGAACTATCGGTTGATTTGTACTACTCACAAAGCGAGTGCATGAGATCAGCGGTGTGGAATTTTATTGTATTGTGTGGGTGAGTGGTTTGCAAGCTTGCAAATTTTCTCTTGACAGACAAGGCTCAGTTGGTCTCTTTCTTGGGTTTTGTTGTTGTTGTTGTTGTTGTTTTTTTTTTGTGTGTTTTTTTTTTTTTGGGGGGGGGGGGGGGTTACTGAAACAGGGGGGGAGGGTTGCTTGTTTTTTTTGTTTTTTTTGGTAGTATTTTAAAGAGTCTTTTTATTTTGTTAATACACTTTTTTGAATGAGTCTTACGGCACTTGCAATACAAACAGGTCATTTATTATAACTGCCGAAGATTAAATGTGGGACTAGAGAGTAACATTTAGAAATGAATAATGCACAGAGATATGTGGCGTCGGTGGCCTAGTGGTTAGGCTACGTACCGGACCTCATAATCGTTAGATTGCGGGTTCGAGGTTCGAGCCTCACCTCGGTCCGACGTTGTGTTCCTGGGAAAGGCACTTTACACAAATTTCCTAATTGGCTCAGTCCTTTTGGGGATGGAGGTCCCGCCTCGTAAATAACCGAATAGTGTTGATAGGGGCGCTAAACCTATACTATTTCAACATTTTCAATTGCAGGCAGATATAAAGACGATAGATGTTTGATAGGAAAGAAGGAGCATAACCCCGCTCTACAGCAAGCTCTATGCGATTTACACTACAATAGATAAATAAAATTTGTATAGCGCATGTCCCCGCCCGAAAGCAAGCTCTATGCGCTTTGCGCTGTATTATTACCCCAGCAGACCATAGAACACTCAGAAACATTCAGAGCTTCCCAGGAAGCATAATAGTGTAAGCAGCTGATTAAGCGCTCAAACATTACCAAACTGACATAACCTTTTACATCAAAACACCCGCCAACCACCCACAGGCTCAGGTCTGATTTCCTACCGTTCCAGCACTGTTGTGGACCCCTGAGTACACAATCATTAGTTCCGCCCACCACCTCTGGCAGGAACGAGCCAAAAGAGACACAGAGGGAAGGAGAGAATGCGAGGAGAGAGAGAGAGAGAGAGAGAGAGAGAGAGAGAGAGAGAGAGAGAGAGAGAGAGAG